TACCAAATCAAATACTGCCACATAAATTGGGATTGGGAGAGTAAGAGATAATTCTATGTAACACCCTCTTGAATTTTTTTTTTATATGAGGCGAACCTCGTACCTCTAAGAAGATTTACTAAGTTTCTTAGTACTATTGTTTTTTGGGGTTTCTCCATGTTGTTTGTTTCTTGTCCCTATTGCTTGCATTAAAAGATGCTCTACATTTCTTTTATTTTTAATTGATTAACACGTGCATGTAATGCAAGAAGTGCAATGCACTCCGCAGCCTAGTATGTTTCTTTTAATTAATTTCAGCTAATGTTATCTGCCATATGGAACGCATTATAAACAGCAACAGACAGCAACATCAGAACAAAATTAGAGCCCAAAATGAAATGAATAAGACGCAGATTCTTTTCCATTGACAAACAAAAGGAACAAATATAATGCTTAAGGGGGCATCTTCAATCTAATTAGCCAAGTGAGAGCCGATTAGAAATTTGGAATGTAGGGCCTATGCATTTTTTCAAAAAATAACGACTCTGTTTAGTCGGCAAGGAGATAAGATTCTCCCATTGTTAATTAGGCACTTCTGCTATTTATTTCCTTTATGGTTTAATGAGCTATATACTAAGATTCAATACGCAGAAATCAAACTTGCAATCCAATTTCCATAAGATTAATGAATTTGACCTAAGTTCCTCCGATACGGCAGTTTAGGTGCAGCATTCGTATCGACACGACACTTGTATGGGTGTGGGTACCGGATCTGGTCAAACAATTTTGGGTACTTTAACCACGACAGACAGAACAAGACATGAAATATAATTTGATTCCCGAAATCAGAACCAAAACTAGGGTAAATTTGAAGAAAATAGCATATTTTATCTAGAAAATCAATCCTTACTTACCTACTACTTGAGAATAAAAAAGGAATTCACATTTTACAAGTTATACGTAAGTATTCCACAAATTTTTCTTAGATATTTTTATATTTTAATTTTCTTGAATTATATTTAGCCGAATCCCAGCACCCGTATCCGCACACTAGGATCCATATCCCGAATCTTAAAATTTATACCTCGAAGAATCTGACCTCTAGATCCGTATTCGTGATGGACACCCGCATCCGTGTCCGGACAACCAAAAATTTGACTACACTTTCTTTCTGTACCTAAATACATACACAGTGAATAGAAGCGAATGTGCAGAAACGACAAATGCAACAAATAATTAAATTTAAGTGTTACTCCTACTATGTAGTTTTTCCTTGACAAAATTAGAAAGTAACATCAACAATTACGTTTCAGTCTTAAATAAATTGGGATCGGTGGTACAAATCATCACTTTCTTTTTAAAATTCAACTCATATCTTTAACACAAAATTCTAAAGCACTCCATTAAAATAAATAGAGAGGGAAAACAAAGAACAAAAAGGAAAGAAAAAGTCATATAGGATCTATTGGAAAACCATGTGCTTTCTCCAAATAAGACGAAGGTGGTGACTTCAATCAATAGCTAACTTGTGGTTATTGAGCATAAAATAGTAGTCAAACATTATGGAATAAGAAATTTGGATTTTGATCACACTTTGGAACTTGAGATATTTTGTTCAGTTCCAACAGCCAATTGTAAGTCGCCACCTCATTGTACGGCAAAACTATTTGCAGAATTTTTCATAGTGACATGACACCCACGCCAGTACTACATATGTGGTGCTCTCTCATTGGTTGCTTCATATTGGAGCACTTCTAACTACCCCGCCCTTTTCTTTCTCAGTTTCTCATGTGGAACAGTGGAACTAATTAAACGACCTAGCTTAGAAAATTCAATTTACAAAAATTAATTTGAACCAATTTAAGTTTTCAATTTTTTATGCGTAAACTGTAGAGAATTTATTCTCTATTTAGGACGCACATAGTGGACGACCACGACCGAAACCAAGTGTAGCAGAAAGCGAGATCCCTATGATATCGCTTCTTAAGGATCGTCGTGATAAACAACGATAGATAGTGGCTAGCGAATGCACGACGTTTGTGGTCGTGTTGGCATGATATGAAACAATGAAAATATGCCTTTGAAATATTTTTTAAGCTGTACTTTTCTTCTTCTTATTTGGTTAAGAGGAGAGATTGTCCCCTATAAAAGGGGACCGAACATTATGTAAAAGGGGGGATTCTAAGATATATACGATCTTCACTTGAAACTGAGAATATCTGTTGCAAAATTTCTCTATATTTAGAGCCAATTATATTTATAATTTATCGTTCAACTCCGAAATACAGAAAAACATTGTTCATCTTGTTCGTTCCTAGCATCCTTCAAGCTAGATCTTATTATACTTAGCTGAGATTTACCCCTTCAATTTTCTTAATTGATTTAATCAAAAAGGTTTCAAAATTTTTTGGTCAAACAATTTGGCGTCGTCTGTGGGGATTTCTTTAGCTAAGATATTAGTCTCATCTAGACTCTTGAAAGGGATAACCATCTCTTCCTAGCTTCGTATAAACTAACAATGGCAGGGAAAGGAGATGCAAGACTGAAAGCGATAGTAGGCGTCACAACCACCCTTATGAACACCATCAACGAAGATAGCAGGGAAGATAACGAAAATGAAACGCCGGGCTCCACACGCAGGGGAGATGATTCACCTCCCCCACATGAAAGTGTAACTGCTTCACGCGAGAAGGAAGCCTCCACATCTGCAACAGGAGAGGCACCACCAGTTGTGCGAAGATTGCTGGAAAAATGGCTAACGAGTACTCTGAATAACATACTAGACAAACCCGCCCAAAGGGATAACAGGAATGCTGCACATGCAGATGTCACGATAAACGCTGATGAGCAGAATGCCACCCGTACAGGTAACACTTATGTCGCCAATGACGCAGTTAATGACACGTTTGCAGCTGTTTTAAAGAAAATGGAGGAGATGGAAAATGAGAATAAAGCACTCCGCGACTAAATGAAGGAACACCAAGAGAGGGTGGACAAAATACCAGGCACTCCAAAGTTGTTGCTAAAACGCGATGTTGGTCGATACATCGAGCAACCATTCAGTGAAGAAGCGACCACCTACACTATCCCAAAGACCTTTAAAATGCCGCCCTACCTAAAGATATATGACGGTACTACCGATCTAGAGGATCATATCATCCATTACGTTATAGCCGTAAAAGGCAATGACCTTTCAAAAGAGCAGATACCATCGGTACTATTAAAAAGTTCGGTGAAACCCTAACAGAGGGAGCCTTGACATGGTACTCTCAACTACCGGCACGCTCGATAACAACTTTCGAGGAAATGGTAGATAAATTTGTTACCGCCCATGTAGGAGACAAAAAGGCAAAAGCTAGGGTAAATGATATATTTGTCGTAAGGCAAATACACGGCGAGGGACTCAGAGATTTCGTAGCTCGATTTAACAGGGTAAGAATGAGCCTGCCAAATGTGTCAGAAGGAATGGCAGTAGCAGCCTTCCAGAACGAGCTAAACAGGAGCGGGTCGAGAGCGACCAGAAAATTGCTAAGCAGGCTCATGAAATACCCTCCAACTACCTGGGAAGAGATCCATAATGCTTACTGTGCCGAGGTACGACCGACGAGGATTACCTCAACGGTCTAACCCAACGGTTGACGTCACTCCAAGTTGAAGCAAGGAAATATCGTCGCAACGATGGTCGAAGAGATCAATTGGGACCCCGTCTCGGCCGAGAAAGGCATCAGCCTTGTATCAGGGCGTCTGCACTGCCTCCACCAACGCACACAGATGCTCCCTCTCGACACACGTCACCATATCGACCCGAGAAAGGTATGCCTCTACTCCTATCTACTCACAATTTTTGTGTTTCTTCTTCAGAAATAGTGTACGCACTAGAGAAACTCGGTCCAAAGGTGCAATGGCCGCAAAAAATGAGGTCAGACCCCAGCACCCGGAAGTTAAGCGCTTTCTACAAATTTCACCAAGAAAGGGGTCACTAAACCGAAGATTGCATAGGACTACTACATGAGGTAGTGCGAATGCTGGTCCAGGGACACCTGAAAGAGTTGTTAAGCGATCAAGGACGAGCTTATTTCGCCCGCAGAGGCAAATAGCCCCTGCGACCTCCTAAATCGCCTTCTCCCGCTCACACTATATAGATGATCATCATCGGAGGTGATGGCGCATCAATCAATCATGTGAAATTCACCACCACACACAAACTCAAACGATCAATCACCCACGAACAATATGATGACCTCGAAGACAGTATCATATTTGATAAGGCAGATGGCGACGGTTTGTTCTTCCCTCACTATGATGCTCTTTTTATCACTTTATGTGTCGCAGATACTGATGTAAAAAGAATAATGGTAGATGACGGTAGCGGCACTTGTATTATCCATCCTCGAGTCCTCGTGTAGATGAGACTCGAAGATAAAATAATACTATATTGTATAATGCTAACAGGTTTTAATAATGCAGTTGAACGGACTTCTGGAGAAATAGTGCTACCAATCCTAGCCGGAGGAGTCACTCTAGAAACGACATTTCACGTCATGAATCAGGAAACGGCTTACAACGCCATCATAGGACACCCATGGATACATGCCATGCGAGCGGTCCCTTCCAGTCTCTATCAAGTGATCAAATTTCCAACCCCATGGGGAATATTCAGCATTCGATGGGAGTAGCGCACCGCGCAAGAATGCTATCGCATCGCCCAAGATTGCGCACACACCCAACAACTCAAACGAGTAAGTGTGGAAGCATAGCAATCAGCAATGTCAGGAGTCAGACTTGATGCTCGGACAGACGTTACCAGGGAACCCGACATCGTGGAAGCATCCGAATCAATGATAGAAAATTTTGATCCCGTCATGCTTGACAGCAACGACCGCACCAAAAAGGCTTATATCGGGCACAACTCTCAGAACCAGGTAAGTTTCATAAGTTCTTGACTGACCATGTCGATCTATTTGCCTTTTCCCATGCAGATATGCCAGGCATCCTAAAGGATATCTCCACCCACAAGCTGAATGTCGATCCCCTCTACCCGCACGGTGCGGCAAATGAGAAGGAAATTCAACGCCGTCATCAATGAAGCCATTAGAGAAGAGGTCAATAAGCTGCTCGCGAATGGTTCGGTCCGGGAATCAAAATATCCTCAGTGGGTCGCCAATGTGGTCATGGTACAAAAGAAGAATAGAAAGTGGCGGATGTGTGTAGATTTCACGGATCTGAACAAGGCATGTCCGAAAGATTCTTTCCCACTGCCACACATCGATCAGCTCATCGACGCAACAGCAGGGCACGAGTTGTTGAGCTTCTTAGATTCCTATTCGGGTTACAATCAGATCCTTATGGAAGAAGAAGATAAGGAGAAAATCACTTTCATCACTCACCAGAGAACATACTGCTATAAAGTGATGTCGTTTGGGCTAAAGAATGCGGGGGCGACATATCACAGATTGGTCACCAAAATGTTCAAAAACCAACTCGGTAGAACAATAGAAGTATACATCGACGACATGTTGGTTAAGTCAAAAAGAAAAGAGGATCATATCTATCATCTGAAGGAAGCCTTCGATATACTAAGACGGTACGACATGAAACTGAACCCCAAAAAATGCACCTTCGGTGTAAGTTCGAGTAAGTTCCTTGGTTTCCTGGTATCTCAAAGAGGCACCGATATCAACCCAGAACAGATTAAGGCAATCGAAGGAATACCCGAAATGCTGACCAGCAAAAAGTAGGTGCAGAAGCTGGCAGGACAGATAGCCGCCTTATCAAGGTTCATTTCACGATCATCAGATAGATGCCACAAATTCTTTAATGTATTAAGTAAAGTCAATGGACTTCAATGGAATTCGGAATGTGTCGATGCCCTAAGGAAACTAAAGGCATACTTGTCTTCACCACCCTTACTTGCGAAGGTAGATCCAGGAGAGTGCCTTCTAGTCTACCTAGCTTTATCCGAAGTCGTGGTAAGTGCAGTTCTGGTCCGGAAAAACAAAGGTATGCAATCTCCAATTTACTATATCAGCAAAACCTTAATTGACGCAAAAACAAGGTACCCCCACCTTGAAAAACTGGCACTAGCATTAGTCGTAGCTTCACGAAAGCTTAGACCATATTTTAAGTGCCACCCCATAAAGGTGGTAACAACCTTTCCACTCAGAAGTATCCTACACAAACTTGAATTATCGGGTAGGTTGGCCAAATGGGCCATAGAATTGAGCGAGCACGATATAACATATCAACCACGAACCGTAATAAAGTCGCAAGTGCTCGCCGTTTTCGTCGCCAACTTCAGTGCAGAGATACTGCCCGAAGTCAAGCAAGAAGCACTTCGCAATTCGTCTGAATGACCCAACCTCTGGGTCCTCTACACCAACGGCGTGTCCAACTCATTGGGATTGGGACTGGGACTCGTACTCGAAGTCTCAACGGGCGAAGTAATTCGCCAATCCATACGATGCCCTGAAATGACTAACAATGAGGCCGAGTATGAGGCCGTAATTGCATGATTAAAATTGACTCTCAAGTATGGTGCTCGGCGGATCATCCTCCGCTGCGACTCGCATCTCATTGTGAATCAAGTCACTGGGACTTTCCAAATTAAGGAACAAAGGTCGCAAAAATACCAGACCGAAATCCACAAATTGCTGCCAGAATTCGACGAATGCCAATTCGACCAAATTCCCCAAGTGCAAAACATCGAAGCATATGGTCTCAACAAACTGGCTGTAGCAACTAAAAACATCACCAAGGAGAACGTGGTCACCCTCCTCCACTCATCAATAGACCAAGTAGAGGTACATTCTATAAATTTAACTTGGGACTGGCGTAATCGCATCATATCATATCTATAGGAAGGAACACTCACGCAAGATAAAATTAAGCCAAAAAGCTCCGAATACAAGCGGCTAGGTATAGCCTTATTAACCACGATCTTTACAAAAGGACGTTTGGCGGCCCCCTAGCCAAAAGCCTTGGACCACATCAGACACGGCGTGTGCTCAAAGAGGTACATGAAGGCCACTACGGCGCCCATACGGGTAACTGGGCCCTCGTCATGTGTCTTATTCATGCTGGATACTACTGGCCCACTATGAAGAAGGAGGCCGCACAGTACGTCAAGAAATGTGAGCAATGCTAGAAATATGCCCCTATGATACACCAAGCAGAAGAACTCCTACATTCCGTCACTTCTCCATGGTCGTTTATAAAATGGAGGATGGACATCGTCGGGCCCCTCCCAGCAGGGCGAGGTAAGACACGCTTCCTTTTGGTTTTAACTGACTATTTTTCCAAATGGGTGGAGGCAGGTGCATTCGCTCAAATACGCGAACAAGAAGTCATCACGTTCATCTGGAAAAACATCATATGCCGCTTCGGCATCCCCAAAGAAATCAGTTGCGACAACAGACCCTAGTTCGTCTGAAAAAACACGACTGAATTCTTCGAGAAATGGCACATCAAGCGGATAATCTCCACGCCATATCATCCCACCGGCAATGGTCAAGCGTAATCCTCCAACAAAACAATATTAAACATACTAAAGAAAAAGCTTGAAGATGCCAAAGGTCTATGGCCGAAACTGCTACCGTAAGTGCTATGGGCCTATCGCACAACGCCGAAGACCAGCACAGGCGAGACGCCATATTTACTAGTCAATGGCACCGATGCAGTAATACTCGTTGAGGTCAGGGAACCCAACCTGAGATACTCGAATGAGAGTGGATCAAGTAACAACGAGAGCAGGTTAGAAGACCTAGATGAGGTCGAAGAACGAAGGCATATGGCACACGTAAGAATGGTGGCCCAAAAACAACAAGCAGAAAGATATTATAACAAGAAGTCCAAAATACGACTACTCAAAGTCGGAGACTACGTACTAAAAGCCAAAACGTAAGCAGCGACCTAAATGAAGGGAAATTAGGAACAAACTGGGATGGGCTGTATAAAATCATAGCAGCAGCAAGCAAGGGAGAATTTCAACTAGAAATAATGGAAGGAAAGCTACTACAAAACAACTAGAACGTCGCCCACTTAAAATACTTCCACTTCTGAAAAGAGACGCTGCCCAAGTCGTACTCTTTTTCCCTCACCCGGGTTTTGTCCCAATCGGGTTTTCTCGGGGAGGTTTTTAATGAGGCGACGAGGAGGGCACCTCGAGGTGTGAGGTATTATTCATTGCCCTGCCTGCTGATTACATCTCCAGACCGAAAAATGAAGGGACTACACATAAGGAATCTCCATTATATGTACAAAATCGACATGTACCACCATTGTACGAGAACAATTGACATGTACCCCCAACATATGAATAAAATCACTCCATTATGTACACAAAATCAACACGCGTCTCCAATGCATGAATAAAACCGATACTTACATCCTAATGGCTAAGGCCATCGACAAAGAATAGGTTCGACATCAGTCGAACCACGACGGGATATTACTTCAGCGCCAGCTCGAAAGCAACATCCCAATGGATAAGGCCATGGGTTCGACATCAGTCGAACCACGATGCGATATTACTTTGGCGCCAGCTCGAAAGTAATATCCCAATGGCTAAAGCCATTGACAAAGAATGGGTTCGACATCAGTCAAACCACGACGGGATATTACTTTGGCGCGAGCTCGAAAGCAATATCCCCATGGCTAAGGCCATCGACAAAGAATGGGTTCGACATCAGTCAAACCACGATAGGATATTACTTTGGTGCCAGCTCGAAAGTAATATCCCAATAGCTAAGGCCATCGACAAAGAATGGGTTTGACATCAGTCGAACCACGATGGGATATTACTTCGGCGCCAGCTTGAAAGCAATACCCCTACGGCTAAGGCCGTTGCTAACAAACATAGTTTAACTAAATGCAATAAGTTTAGCAGTTCAACAAAGCTCCAAAGCTACATGATTGTGGCAGAAACCGTCATCAAACAAGCCAAAGAAAGAAAATGACTCAGAGATGCACGCCCAAAACGACCTTCATTTACAACAAATTTATTGCAAATATTGATCCTTACAAAGGGTTCAAAAACACCCTTATAAAAATAGCGAAGCAAAAAGCACAAAACAAATACTACGCATCATTTCTGGTGGCATACGCGTCTTCGTACCAAGAGTCGGAGGCAAGGCTGTTCACATTATCAGAATTAATATCATCTCCATCGGGCGTGTGAGGATCGTACCCGCATGCCTCGCGAGCCGCACGAGCCCTAGCACGTATATCCCGAAGCTCCACTTCGGACCCCCTCCCATCAACTTGAAGAGCTTTGTACACATCGAGCTGAGCCTCGGCGTGAACCCACAACTTATATAAATGTCGAGGCACGACAAGACCAGCTAGGGCATGAGATGTAGAAGGTTGTGACTGTCGTCGTAAACCCTCCGCTTTCAAAGAATCCACTTGCTTGTTCAGAGCGGACAGTTCCGCCTCCAACCCTTGTGTATGTCCCTCAAGTTTTGTTGTCCTGAATGCAGACACCTACAAACACGGAGAGCATCCTCTGAAACTGCCACCTCAAAAATGGTCGTCGCTCTCTCCCTCTCAGCATGGGCCAATCTATCAGCATTCGCACTCAATTCACCCTTAAGCTCGTCGACCTCAGTCATCTTCACGTCCAGTTCAGCTGTCAGACTGTCTACCTTCGCCTGAGGATCGGCATTTTCAGACACCACTCCCCTACTTAGCTCAAGTTCATCTTCCGTGGCTCTAAGGGCTGCCTCAAGCTCACTATCACGGGCAACGGCCCTCATAAGATCCTCATCTCGTTACTTTAACTCCTCCACCTTACGTGTCAGTGGATCCTCCCTCTACTTGAGCCCTTCACGGAGCAGTTGGAAATTACGATCCTGATTGTAGATGTCGACCATCGTACGATATTTGGTATGATATTCTTGGTACTTGGAAAACATCTTTACACAGAGGGTCATCCTCCTCCTTTCCCGACGCTCACACTCGATCTCCATGATAAGGGTCTAGCACGAGAAATAAAAGTTAGAGCAAATGGGCCAAAGATAATAACACGAATACAACGACGAAATAAAAAGAAAGACATTTACCCGTAGAGCCATGCCAGAAACGCTCTGAGATAACTCTGCATCACTCATCGCTTTAAGTGCCTCGCTCTTAGGGGCATCACACAAAGGGGCTAAGACAGATGCCACCTGATCACAATTCGACAATATGTCGTAATTCCTAGGAATGATTATGTGTCGATCAAAACCCTCCGTTCTTATCTCCACGTGAGTATGACGCTCCCCAAAATTGCGAACATCGTCTAGGTCAACGTCTGAACCTGAACTATCGCTCTCGGCGTGCAAACCCCCGCCAATAGTAGATGATGTGCCACCCTCAGCGGAACGTGTAGATCCCTCTCCTTGATAAACCCCTTTTGTTTGGGGAGATCTCCCCGCCAAGATGGCATCGGCCATAAAAGTGGGTACCGATGTCGTCTCCGATGCACCCGTCCTGCTCTTGCCAGTCTCAACGACCACGCTCTTCCTAAGCTCCACCCTCCTCTTCTTTCTCAATAAAGACTCGTCCCCATTAGAGGACTTATCCACGGATTGTTGGACTGGTGAAAAAGGGATCTCCCTCACGACCATGTCTCGAGAGGAGTCCCTCGCCTGTAACGACTAGGCATGAACCTCTCGGGTGGACTCACCCAAAATGAATTGTATCCATGCGGAGGTGACGGGCCTACAAAATGTAGGGACTAGGCCCCATCGCCTAGAAGCTC